GACAAATATAAATGTTTATTCATAACCATGCTGAAAATAAGTAAATGTTAGCTGATGCTAACTGTCTAGCTAACGAGCTTGCTGGTGCTAAATTGAGGTAATTTTTAAAAAATAAAGTCCAACTATTTTTATTCAGCCACCTAGATAGATTACATCTGAAGGAAAAAGAAAGGATGTAATGTTCAGAACATGGTAACTACAGTAATTATCAAAGTGGGAAGTGATGCCCTCTGGGGGCATTTGGCCAGGGGTGTTTTTACACCACAGACAAGGTTTGAGAAGAACAAAATCATTATGAAAATCAAATTATATTTTCCTTATTATATTCATTATTTCCTTATTGGTTATTTTGGGAAAATCCCAGGTATTTTGAGCAGTAGGATTATAAAAAAATATATGCTAATATAAAATTAAATGATAGAAGTAGCCTATATAAAACTGCTAAATAAACATTCATCTATCGGTGCTTTTTACTTAAGTACATAAAAAATCAAGTACTTATGTACTTTCACTCGAGTAAAATTGAAAACTGAGGACTTTTACTTTTACTGGAGTAATATTTTATTAATACGGATCTGTACTTTTACTCAAGTACTTGATTTGTGTACTTCGTCCACCACTGATTGCTATCATAGCTCCGTAGTCTTTTGTTGCTACTTTTTCCCTGTTGTTTCCAGAGATTTTGATCAGTTGTACATGAGCGTAGGTCAGAGAGTCGTGGGACTTGTCTAGTCTGTCTGCCTGCCATGCAAAGCGAGTCTGCTGTCTGCGGTCCGTCCTGCTGTCGTTCCCTCCCTCTCGATGTCTCTCTTCCTCCTCAACATTAAGTTGACAGAGCAGCTCATATCCTGCACAGAGATGATAGATACGTCATGTCTGTGAGAAATGTGTTTGTCTTCCGCAGGTGCTCGGGCGTCCTTTTTCTCAGAGCAGACGGTGCACATGACACTTTTCGACACTCTTCTCAGATAGTGATTTGGCATGAAGGCATTATCAAAGGGGGATCTTTCACATGCAATTATGGCAGAAAATAAAGGTGATGAAGTGTGCAGTAGAGAGGGAAGCAGCGGATCAAAAGGCTCTTGTGAGCTCTGATTAGAGTAAGAGGCCACTGCTCATCCCTGGGAATTCCACAGGTCTAGCTCGAACACCGGCGGACAAGATAATGAAGGCGTCGAGTGACACAGTCTGCTGATGAATGCATCTCATCTGACTCAGCCAGGGAAACAGACAGATTGTTTAGGGTGGAGACAGGAAGAGAAGGCTCCATTATACTGGCCCGTTTGGTTTTTGCAGTTGCAAACTTGTGAACATGACTGCACTGCTACAGTACATGTTCTTTCTTGGTGAGCTCTTTCAGGTTATCAGTGATTATTTATTGATTTCATTTTGGGGCTTTATTTTTGATGGGAAAATAAAGGTTAACTGAAAACAATTTGAGAGACAGAAGAGCCTGGAGGAAAATTGTATTGCTCATTCATAGCTCAATGGAGTTCCTTTTATACACTTTGTATGAGATTTTCTCCTAAAATTCATTTAGAGAAGAAAGACTAGACATAAATGAGACTTCTGATGAGCAAGAATACAGAGCTTTGAAATGAATGTGGATATATAGTTTAGATAAATTGGTTTTATAGGTTTTTAATGACAAATGTTTGAGTATTGCATACTGAAATCTCTGATGTTTGACTGAAGACTTCAGTATCTTGTCAAATCTACGCACAGATTAAAACATGGTTGAGATATCTTCTGAAACACTAGAGGAGACATATAATGCCACAACCATTATGTTGCAGATCTAATATTATCATTGATGAAAAACAGTATATATACTGCTATAGTTGGATCTCGTTTCATGCCAGATGATCTCAGTTCCTCACAGGGATCTTGAAGGTGAGTGTGTCTTCCTGCGGTTCCTCCAGTGATCTCCCCTGCATGCCCTCTCCTGGTTGTGCCCTGAGGCTCTTCTAACTGACAGCTGTCACTCTCCACTAGCTGTCCTCAATATAAACCTGTGCTTGCAGTGAAGACATGTGTGAATGATGGATGCTCACACAGCTCTTTTGTGCTCTGGATGAACTCAGCTGACCACATCTTTGAAGCAGATCCTGAGGTTATCTTTCACTCAAGGACATCAGGAGACACAATGAAGAAGGAGCCTAACCTCTTGTAGTCAGACTGCTGGCTGAATGCAGCTAATTCTGAACCTTATTCTAATCTATCCATCCATCAGTCTGTCTGTCCATCCACCTCTCCATCTATCCATTCATCCTTCCATCTGTCCATCCATCCGCCATTCTATCTGCCATTCTGTCCTTCGTTCCATCCATCATTCCATCCATTCATCTACTTATCTGTCAATCCATCCAACCCTCCATCTGTCAGTCCATCCATTTTTCCATCCAATGTTCTGTCTGGCTGTCCATCATTCTTTCTGTCGTTCTATCTATCGTTTTTTTTTTCATTCTGTTATTCTGTTTTCTGTCCGTTTGAACATTCAAACTTTAAGACTTTTTAAAGAATTTGTCTACTTACAGAATAAAAAAAAATTCCTGATAATTATGTCATCCAAGATATTCATGTCTTTCTTCGGTCTAAAAGAAATTAAGGTCTTTAAAGATAACATTCCAGGATTTTTCTCTAAATATGGAAAGGATCTATCTATATATAGACTTCAGTGGGACCTCTAACATGTTTAAGGTCCAAATTTTATCAATCGTTTCGCTAGATAAGACTCTCATTCCTCGGTTGGGATCATGTAGAGCCCTTTGAAGCTGCATTGAAACTGTAATTTGGACCTTCGATCCATTGGGTCCCATTGAAGTCCACTATATGGAGAAAAATCCTTGAATGTTTTCCTCAAAAACCTTAATTTCTTTTTGACTGAAGAAAGAAAGACGTGAACATCTTAGATGACATGGGGTGCATAAATTACCAGGACCTTTTTATTCTGGAAGTGAACTAAACCTTTAAAGGGGTCATATGATGTTGCTAAAAATAACATTATTTTGTGTATTTGGTGTTATGAAATGTGTTTATGCGGTTTAAGTTTCAAAAAACACATTATTTTCCACATACTGTACATTATTGTTTCTCCTATATGCCCCGCCTTTCTGAAACGTGTCGATTTTTACAAAGCTCATCGGTCTGAAAAGCAAGGTGTGCTCTGATTGGCCAGCTATCCAGTGCATTGCGATTGGCCGAATTCTTCAAGCGTGTGACGGAAATGTTACGCCCTTTACCATATTGTGATGCCCTGTCCAGCCGGAGCGACGAGACAAAAACATTAAAACCCATTATAAACGAAGCATTTGTTGCATCCAGTGGGGACATAATTATGGATTATAATGACTTATACTGTCTTCTTACGTAAACATAAAACCATGTCTGTATTTGTGATCGGAGAAACGACAAACAACAAGTGCTACTCTAAACTGCCCAAAACTCGCGTTTGAAACTTACAGTCTGTGAGTCAGAGCAGCCATCATTGTAGTCTACTCTACCAGGATCAGGAAACAGTCCTCCATAAATTGCGCTGGACACATCTGAATATTTGGGTTGAACTGTTCTGGAACAGTGTTGTAAATACAAATTAACCATTGATTTCTAGTCATGTCCTCTTTTGGAAGGCCAAAAAAAGTAATTTCGCTTTCACAACGAAACACACAGCGCCTTCACGACATGGCGGCAGCAGCAACAACAATACTACAGCAAGAATAAAAGTTACGCCTTCTTTCTTTGCGTGAACATTTGGGTGGCGTTATGCAAATCTTCCCACATAGTGACATAGGTATGTGGGGGCGTGTTAGAACGAGCCGTTTTAGGTAGGCGTGGTTGACTCTTAACTTTTATAAAGAATATCTCTTTAGATTTGAGACTTTAGTCTTTGCAACTTTACAGATCTTCTTTATGCACCAAGAACTTGTAACACACTAAAGAGAAAGGAAAAATTTTAATCGCATCATATGACCCCTTTAAACTTTTTTTCTCAGATATTTTCTCAGATATTTCAAACAAGGCCTTAAACCAACATTCAAAGTTCTTAACAGACTTTGCTTTTCTAGTTCATTACTAGTTTATTTTGTTATTATGAATTCCAATTGCAATTTCTATTCCAAAATTTAGTTCCTTTAAGCTTTTTCAAATCCAAATCCAATTCCTTCAAATCAAGCTGAAATCAGGAATTGAAATGGAATTCTCAATACTATGGTTCAGCACTAAGGCGACAATTTCAGCCAGTGCTTGCCGTTTTTTTCTTTTCTTTCTCCATTGTGCATCAGTGAGTTTGCTATTTGAAGCTAATACTAACACTTCACCTAGACGGGGACCCTCATGCCATCTTTGTGTCTACTTTAGTACACATATTGACAAAAACATCCTCTAGAGTTCCCTTGGTAGCTCTAAAGGATCGTCAGAATGCAGAGAGTGTGTTCTTGTTGAGAAGTGTGAAGATGTTCAGAAGTGTCATCCTCTTATTGTGATTGTCACATGAGAACAAGCTGTCCAACATGACCGTTCTCAGTCAACCCATGAAAGCTTCAATGAACACTATTTACACCCTGTCCCTTCTACATATTGAAGGTGAAATAAAGCGATTGCCATTTAGGTTAGCTGGCTGACAAGAAAGGAAGAAGTGATACTAATTTGATACTAGCTATTCTGAATTGAGCGTTGAAAGTAGTCATCCTTGTCAGGCTTCTTGAGAAAATTGACCATTTTTCATCATTGCAAGTTAGTTGTCAGAGCAATCCTCAGTCGTCAACAAAAACAATTTGGCTTTTTAAAGAAGGAAGCACACACTTCACAGGCACTGTAGGTGGGTGTGAGTGTATAGTGGGGTGAGATGGAGGTTAGATGTGTCACTGTTAAAGAGCATCAACCTGGCCATTACAGAATATCAGAAAATGTTTAATTGGAAAAGATTCGGCCTTTTAGAAAGCCGATTTCCCCCTCTTTGTCAGCACAACAGAGAATGCGTAATTGTGTTGTATAATCCTTAGTGGCATTGCCCTTTCATCTGGGTGAGGAGATCCGAAAGAAGGATTTGCGGGCAAGACCTCCCATAGCTGCCAAGGCTGCCTGATCTTCATGCATGCTGAAGAGATTTCTGCCTGCCTAAACCTGATTCAGGTTAGAAATCCCTCTGGGGTCAGTGGTCACCTTTCCCTGTTTTAAATTGTCGGATAGAGTAAAAATAAAAAGACACAGAGACAAAAGAGTTCACATAGAAGAAAATGGATTCCTGGCACCTTTAGATTTAATATAACAAAGTAACCGTGTAAATATGAAAGAACCAAACATCACTGAAAATGAATGGCTGCACTCTTAAAAAAATAATAGTTCTTTATTGGTATCAGTGGTTCCATGAAGAACCTTTAAAATTAATTGAACCTTTACATTGCACAAAAGGTTCTTATGGCAAAAAACATTCTTCAGATTAAAAAAAAAAGTTATTTTAAGAACTGTTCACTGAAATGTTCCAAAATGGTTCTATTGCCTTGTTACCTTCTTTTGGAACCTTTATTTGGTTCGTTTGTTACTATATATACTGCAAAAAAAAGTAATACACTTCACATTTGTCAACATAGCCTAATACGGTTGAGATTCAATTTAATGGAATCAGTGGAATTAGGATTCCCTATCTCCCAATATTGTTTGATAAATATGGGGTTTTCAATTTGATTGAACATTTTTACATCCTTGTGTGGAAGTAAAGCTGTTTATTTCCATAATACCATCATAATATATTTATTAACTGAGTAGCCATGCAGTTCAGTGCAGTTTGACTGAATAAACACTGAAAGTGTCCTCCAGCTGTAAGGAGTGTATGCTTCCTGCCACAGGCCGGCTTAGAGATAAACACTCAGCTGTCTCACACACACACAAAAACACACACAGCAAATTTCTCTCACATTTCCTCAGAGCATACATCACTTGTTTGTTCCCAGAGAGAAAGAGGAGAGTGATAGAGAGATGCGGATGAGCAGCAGGCTTGTGCTCGGGGGGGAGTTTTTTTGGCCTGCTGGCCTGTGTTTGAAGTGAGCCACAGGCCCTGTGAGCAGCCCTGATCCCTGCATGGGGAATCACACCGTTCTCTGCAGGCTCCAGGCCACTAGCAGCAACAGCAGCTGCACAACAGAAAGAGGTGAAAAAAGAGAGGCCGTAATCTTAGATGTTCTTTCCTGATGGCTAGCGCTTTGACATCTGACATCGTCAAAGACAATAGACACCCCGGTAACTGTAATACTACCTGATGGAACATAGAGAGGATTATCTGCTTTTATTATAAGTCTCGTTATTGTTTCTTCTCCTCATATTTCAGGTTCTTTTTCATTCAACATTATGATGCCTAATCGCCAAGTTGTTTGGCCTAAAAACGAATGGGTGTTTCTTCAGCTATAGCCCTTTACACCTGAAAGCACACATAATATTTTCATACTTTTTATTTTTAATTTACAGTAATTTATTCAAATGTAACCATTTTAAAGTCAAAATGATGCACAATAAAATAGTTTTTTTAATTCTTGATTTTTCTTAGTTTTTATAGATTCTATTTCTTCTAAAGCTCTTTATTGAAAATGTTGTCTCCTAAGTAACCAAGTACACAAACAATTGGAAACAATAAATGTAATTAGAAGAAAATTATGGTGGAAATGATGTAATGTATAAATTATGTATAAATCTACACATGAATCTTGAAATGACTGGATTTTAGGTTATCATCATAGTGACAATGTTTTGATTTTTAAATTTTTTTTTATAATTAAATGAAGAAGGCCAGGGTTAAAAAAAAATCCAAGAATTTCCATGAGTTTTAATGTGAACTTCATATAACAAAATAAGTGGAGTTTAAATCAAAATACTAGTCAATTAAATAAATTGAATAGTTATTCATTTTAATAAGAATATTTTAATAAACAAATTTAGTAAAAAGACCTGTTGTTGAAATACCAAAAAAGCAGGTCAGATGTCCCCATCTGTCTTTTTCTGTTTTGTCTTTTCTCCATGTGGAAGACAATATACTTTCCAGCTTTGTTTTCATCTATTACGCTTCACTGATGAAGAAGGTGGAGACAAATGACAACCAGGTGCTGTCCATCATGGTTAAGTCATGTTGTTTTACTGAACTGTCTGTGGAGTTTGACAGTTGTAATCTGTTGCTTATTCCACCGAATAGCGTGACCCCACACTCTAGTGAAGAGAGAGAGAGTTTGCCGTGTCAGTGTGAGGTCTGGTCCTGGGAAATGTTTGGGGCCAGATAAGCTTGTGCTTGACAAGAAACTCCAGATGCTTTTATATTACAAACTGTCATGTTGCAGGGGGACAGATAAAACCCAGTGATGGGACTGTGGACCCTTCTCCAGCATGAACAGACACAGCCGCGCAAGCAGATAAACCGTTTGCTGCAGATTTACTTATTGTTATTGTAGGTGGACTGTTGGTTGTGTAATTAGATCTTCATGTGCAATGTCACACCTTCTGGTTTGTGTTAATGGACTCTAAAGTAAATTACAGAGGGGTATGTGACAGTTTTGCATAGCCAGACTTTTGACCTTAGGCAAATGTGGACCACATGGCCGCCCGCTTATTCTGGCCAATAACTTGGAGAAAGAAAAAAAAACTTAAACTAGCCTTATCCATTGTTCAATCACAAGTTGTGTTTCCAACAGGGTTATTATCATTAACTAAAACAAGAAAATAAATAAATAATAATAAAAATGGCAAAAGTACATCAAAACTACTAAAACTTTACCTAAAATGAAGAAAATAAAAACTAATTCAAAATATTAACAAAAACTACAATAGTATATCTATGATGCTAACAACACTGGTTTCCGATGCTAGTTTGCTAGACGCAGCAGGAAACTCATCCAAATTATTTTGGGCCAATGCATTGTACATTGTATGACCTACTAAATCCTCTGGCTTACAGTAAATCTGACGTGTCTTGTCTTCATCTGCCCAGTTCATTTCCAGGAGCGAACACGCACAGTAAAGCCAGCTTGTAATGCTATAATTCATTATCTAAATGCAGTCACCGTCTAGACTCAACACTGATAAAAATACAAGGTAATCCACCTTGACTGTCACGCCCGCAACCAATTCATTAGTCCTCAGTGGTGAGCAGTGGGAGCTGACTCCACTCCTGTCTGAATTGGGTTTTCAATCTAAGCACTCGAGCCGTAACACGCTCTAACACACACCCATCAGGAGACTGCATATGAGCTCAGCACTCAAGCCTCAGTCATTTACACCTTCACGTGCCTTTAGTTGTGACCACCACAGAAGTGGCACCAAGAGTTGACGTGCAGGTGTTTTTTTTTGTTTGTTTTTTTTTTTATGAGGGACAAGTTTTTCCATTGACAGGCATTCAAAAGTAGCATGTATTTGGGTTGAATAAAATACAATTTATGTTTTTCACCATCTGCTGCACACAGTTTTAAAGAGTAATTGGTTACATAGCATATTCAGTTTCATTAATAATTTTGTCCACCCTTTGTAGTAGATGAGTATCAGAAGAATAATTACATAAAAAAAAACATGTGGTCACACTTTATTTTAAGGTCCAATTCCCGGTATTAACAAACCATTAATTACAACTTTTGCCTCAATAAACTCCTAATTTGGCACTTATTAATAGTTAGTAAGGTAGTTATTAAGGTATTGGGTGGGATTAGGGATGTAGAATATGGTAATGGATAATTTGTCCTTTATAAGTACTAATAAACAGCCAATATGTTATTAATAGGCATGCTAATAAGCAACTAGGTAATAGTGAGAATTGGTCCATATACTAAAGTGTTACCAAACATGTATAATTTGCGTCGAATGTAGGCTAAACTAACAGAATAATCTGCTAATGGTATGCTAAGCTAGTATGGGGGAAAAACTGAGAAATGCTTAATTTCACTTGGTTATATATAACACTGCTTTTAAAAAGTTTGAGGTTAGTAAAATTGGTAATGTTTTTAAAAAGTCTAATTCTCACTTAAAGGGGTCATATGATACTGCTAAAAAGAACATTATTTGGTGTAATGAAATTAGTTTATGTGGTTTAAGGTTCAAAAAACACATTATTTTCCACATACTGTACATTATTGTTTCTCCTCTATGCCCCGCCTGTCTGAAACGCGTCGATTTTTACAAAGCTCATCGTTCTGAAAAATCGACGTGTGCTCTGATTGGCCAGCTATCCAGTGCGTTGTAATTGGCCGAATTCCTCCCTACCAACGTCCCTTACCATATTGTGATGCCTGCGGCAACCACATGTGACGACCCCGGGCCGGACTCCGCTTCGTGAAAAGTGAAAAGTGAAAGCCGATCCGGTGATCCACAGCGCGAAGTAGAAGTATTTCCTCAGCGACCAGCACGGATCAGCTCCAGGCGTGACGAAGCAGATATCGTCTAACTAAAACAAGAAAATAAATAAATAATAATAAAAATGGCAAAAGTACATCAAAACTACTAAAACTTTACCTAAAATGAAGAAAATAAAAACTAATTCAAAATATTAACAAAAACTACAATAGTATATCTATGATGCTAACAACACTGGTTTCCGATGCTAGTTTGCTAGACGCAGCAGGAAACTCATCCAAATTATTTTGGGCCAATGCATTGTACATTGTATGACCTACTAAATCCTCTGGCTTACAGTAAATCTGACGTGTCTTGTCTTCGTCTGCCCAGTTCATTTCCAGGAGTGAATACGCACAGTAAAGCCAGCTTGTAATGCTATAATTCATTATCTAAATGCAGTCACCGTCTAGACTCAACACTGATAAAAATACAAGGTAATCCACCTTGACTGTCACGCCCGCAACCAATTCATTAGTCCTCAGTGGTGAGCAGTGGGAGCTGACTCCACTCCTGTCTGAATTGGGTTTTCAATCTAAGCACTCGAGCCGTAACACGCTCTAACACACACCCATCAGGAGACTGCATATGAGCTCAGCACTCAAGCCTCAGTCATTTACACCTTCACGTGCCTTTAGTTGTGACCACCACAGAAGTGGCACCAAGAGTTGACGTGCAGGTGTTTTTTTTTGTTTGTTTTTTTTTTTATGAGGGACAAGTTTTTCCATTGACAGGCATTCAAAAGTAGCATGTATTTGGGTTGAATAAAATACAATTTATGTTTTTCACCATCTGCTGCACACAGTTTTAAAGAGTAATTGGTTACATAGCATATTCAGTTTCATTAATAATTTTGTCCACCCTTTGTAGTAGATGAGTATCAGAAGAATAATTACATTAAAAAAAACATGTGGTCACACTTTATTTTAAGGTCCAATTCCCGGTATTAACAAACCATTAATTACAACTTTTGCCTCAATAAACTCCTAATTTGGCACTTATTAATAGTTAGTAAGGTAGTTATTAAGGTATTGGGTGGGATTAGGGATGTAGAATATGGTAATGGATAATTTGTCCTTTATAAGTACTAATAAACAGCCAATATGTTATTAATAGGCATGCTAATAAGCAACTAGGTAATAGTGAGAATTGGTCCATATACTAAAGTGTTACCAAACATGTATAATTTGCGTCGAATGTAGGCTAAACTAACAGAATAATCTGCTAATGGTATGCTAAGCTAGTATGGGGGAAAAACTGAGAAATGCTTAATTTCACTTGGTTATATATAACACTGCTTTTAAAAAGTTTGAGGTTAGTAAAATTGGTAATGTTTTTAAAAAGTCTAATTCTCACTTAAAGGGGTCATATGATACTGCTAAAAAGAACATTATTTGGTGTAATGAAATTAGTTTATGTGGTTTAAGGTTCAAAAAACACATTATTTTCCACATACTGTACATTATTGTTTCTCCTCTATGCCCCGCCTGTCTGAAACGCGTCGATTTTTACAAAGCTCATCGTTCTGAAAAATCGACGTGTGCTCTGATTGGCCAGCTATCCAGTGCGTTGTAATTGGCCGAATTCCTCCCTACCAACGTCCCTTACCATATTGTGATGCCTGCGGCAACCACATGTGACGACCCCGG